CCTCCTCCTCCTTCTTCTTCTCCTCCCTCTTTTCCTTCTTCTTCTTTTCTTCCCTCCCTCCGAACAATGTCTTCATAAATCCCTTCGTACTTTTCTCTCCTTGAATCTTCGAGGCAGCAGGGATACAAGAAACAAGAATGAAGAAAGATAAAGAACGAAGAAAGATTGAAGATGTAGAAGAAGAAGAAGAAGAAGAAGAAGAAGAAGAAGAAGAAGAAGAAGAAGAAGAAGAAAAGATGCGAGCCTTCTTTTGGCAAAAATTCCCCGCGGGGTCCGTTCAAGTTTGAGTCTTACGTTGTTTTCAAATAAAAAGAGTAAGAGAGGGAGAAAGAAAAGAAGGAAAAAAAGAAAAGAAAGGAGGAAATAAAAAAGGAAGGAAGAAAGTGGTTAGACCAACGAGTCCAAACGAGGCAAGGGTCAATAACATACGTTTTGACTTTGCGTTCCTTTTTCCTCGCAGGATAATTCTGGAGACTGGGTCCTCTCCCTTCTACTTGTCTTTTATTCTCTTCTCTTTCTTTCTTTTTCTTTTTCTTTTTCTTTCTTCTTTCTCTTTCTCCATATTCTTTCTGTCGACCAAGTCTAAGGAACGCTGACGAGAGAATTCCGGGCCCTTTGCTCTTCTTCTCTTACCTTTTCTCTTCTTTTTCTTTTTATTTCTCTTCTTAGTCTTCTTCTTCTTCGTGGTTTTTTTCTTCCAGAGACGAAAGAGCAAAGAATGCTTTTCTCCTACGGTGCATTCGTTGCATACGCTGCAGTTAAACTCTTCGATTATCTGACTCCGGTCACTACTACTACTACTACTTAACAATTTGTTGTAATTAAAATAGTCTTAAAATTTTTATTAAAAATTCTTTGAACAGTTTAAAAAATTTTATTCATCTTGGTAATAAATACATTTGTTGTTTAAATTAATTTTTTTCTATAATCAGTTGAATTAGAAAAGTTGAACTGTTCAATTAGTTGAATTTAGTCACTACTACTATTATTAAAAAATTTGTAGTAATTAAAATAGTCCAAAAAAATCAAATTGAAAGTTTAACAAATTTAATTCACCTAAATAATTGATGTATTTATTATTTAAATTTATTTTTTTCTATAATAAATTGAATAAGAAAAGTTAAACTGTTCAATTATCTGAATCCTGTTACTAAAAAATTCTTTACAGAGCTTAACAAATTAAATTCATCTACATAAAAAATATATTTGTTGTTTAAATTTATGTTTTTCTAAATTAAGCAATATCAAAAAAGTTGAACTCTTTGATTATCTAACTTCGATTACTAATACTACTATTTAAAAATTCGTAGTAATTAAAATAGTCTAAAAAATTATTTAAAAAGTTTAATAATTTTAATTTATTTTGATAATTGATATATTTGTTGTTTAAATTTCTTTCTTTCTATTATAGATAGAATAAAGAAAGTTAAACTGTTTGATTATCTGACTCCAGTCACTACTACTACTACTACTACTTAAAAATTCTTAGTAATTAAATCTATCTAAAAAATCTCATTAAAAATTCTTTGAAAAGTTTAACAGGTTTTATTCACCTCAAATATAGATGTATTTATTATTTAAATTAATTATTTTCTATAATAGGTACAATTAAAAAAGTTAAACTCTTCGATTATCTGACTCCAGTCACTACTACTATTTAAAAATTATTTTTAATTAAAATAATTTAAAAAAATCTTATTAGAAATTCTTAGAAAAGTTTTACAAATTTTAATTCATTTACATACTCGTTATTTAAATTTATGTATTATTAAAAAATGATAATTATATAATATTACTTCTTTCTTCGTTCTCTTTTTCACCGAAACTTATCCACTTTCGCGTTGACAGTAAGTAATAAGTAAGAGTAAAAAAAAAAAAATGATATCAAGTTTAGAAATGGAAAAAGATAAGAGTCAAAAAATGAAATATTAACATTCTGCAAACGATATAGTTCTGCGGTTAAGTCTCGCGGTTTGCATGTTTGTACTTGGGTGTGCATTATCGGAATGCATTCAAACTTCCACTTAGAAACATAGAAAGATAGAGAGAGAGAGAAAGAGAGAAAAAGAGAAATAAATAAATAAATAAAAATGAAAGAAGTTAAAAAACTTATAAGTAAGATAAATCTTAATACAATATTATTACCAACCAAGTAAATTGCATATTTCGATAAAGCACGCAAACTTTAGTAAATCACACTTCCTACTTCTTTAAACTTTATTTTCTTTTCTTTTTTACAAATTTGTCTTTTTTTTTTTTTATTTCTCTATCTATTTTTCATTCCATCTTCCCTTACCTTTCCCCCACCTATCTCAATTCATTTTCTTCCCTTTTACATTCAACTCTTCTAATTATTTCTTAGACTCACGTCGTAATTCTTGTTAGCATCGATCGAACTTACCGATACCGCGAAATTCTCTATTTCAACGATGAAAAATACGATAGCTAAGGATATGCGTGTATATGGGGTGATTCGACAAATTCTTCCAACATATATCATGTTCTCGCTTTCTTACTATATCCTCTTGTCTTCTCTTTTTTTTTTTCTTTACTACAACTAAAACTCGTAGATAAAATTTATAATTCGTAATTCAATAAATAATCTTTCTTCTTATTTTTGTTTAATACTAACCAAACTTTACATACATGGATTCGTGATTTGATTATTTATTTATCTATAAAATACCATGCATTAATTAGTAATAAATAAATAAGAAAATATTTTTTAAAAAGCTCAAACTAACATTAACAATTATAATTGCACGAATTATGAAAAGTAAAAATTTCTTGTATATTTTTTTTTTTTTTTTTAAGATGAACAATTTTATTTACCAGTGAAACGATTATTCTTAAATTTCGTAGAACCGAATGGAATCAGTTTCACTCAGCTTTTACTAAAGCGCGTTTAATAGACGTGCAAATATTTTCATTGGCGAACGTAATTTCTGTTTGCCTTTCTCTTCCTCTCATTCCACTTCTATCTCTTTCTCTTTTTATTTTTCTTCGTCACTGTAAGCGTTATTTTAAGTGCGTACACTCATGGCGCGTTCCAAAGGAATTCTGATTACATCACGTCGCCGATCCACAATCGTTTTAGCATTCCTTTTTTGGCCTAACTAAAACGAACCCGGTGTGACCGTGAATTACGAGAGTTAAATAATTACTCGACTTTGTCCTAATTCGTTTTATAATTAAATTCTCCATTACCCCTTCTGTATTTCAAATTAAAATGACTATCACGTTTAACAAAACAAAACAAAACAACAAAAAATGTGTCACTGATTGCGATTTATAGATAGATATGTAATTATAAATGAAAAAATGCGTAATAAATAATAAATCGATATATTGTAGAATAAAAATAAAAGTATAAATAATAAAAGTAAGAAAAATTATAGAGTGGGAAATAAAATTAATCATCGAAAAACAATTTAAACGTTGTTTCACGTTTCATTCAAAAAGTAACGAGAATCCGATTTCAAAATGGAGAATACGATTTTTCCTTTTAAAGATAGAAAGAACCATCATTCTCTTTTCTAACTTACGATCGCGCATCCTTCACTTGATATACGACTAAGGGAACATTTAGGGCTCGTGTCCTTGCAAAATACACCCACGCGAAGAAAGATCTTTCGATCTTGAAGCAAAATTTCCTTGGCTCGGTCTTCTCTCCGCGCGGATTTTCGTTTATATACGTACACATGCATACACATATACATATACACGTATATATAGAGATACATATAACATAATACTATATTATAGGAGTTAGTAGAAGTGGTTCAGACGCGGCATATGAAATTGAAAGTTAGCGTGGGTTGCTTGGCTACCGCCCAGACCGGTCTAACTTTACTTGTCCATTAAGTCGCCGATTGGAACAAGAAAATGTCCCTACTTTCTTCCACCATACCTATAGTACTATACCTTTTGAAGTTTGTTATAGACGTGACCAATAATTTTCTTTAGCCACTAATATTCTTGATTTATAATACATACGATTTATTTCGTTTCTTTCTTTGTTCTTTAAAATATATATACATATACAGGGTGATCTGTAACTCGTGGTACAAACGAAAAGGGGGTGATTCTACATGAAAAAATAAATCGAAAATATAGAATAAAATTTTTTCGTTTCAAGCTTTGTTTTCGATAAAATCGACTTTGAATTTTCGTAAAGTTCGTAGAGTATTTTTGAATAGTTCGTAGGGTATTTCGGAAAAGTTCGTAAGGTATTTCCGAAAAGTTCGTAAGGTATTTCCGAAAAGTTCGTAAGGTATTTCTGACAAGTTCGTAGATCCATTATAACGAGACATGATAAAATGCATGCATATTTTGCGAAAATTCAAAGTCGATTTTCTCGAAAACAAAGCCTCAAACGAAAAAATTGTATTCTATATTTTCGATTTATTTTTTCATGTAGAATCACCCCCTTTTCGCTTGTACAACGAGTTATAGATTACCCTATATATATTTTATCCTTCTTTCTTAAATCACTTCGAGTTATGTCCTTGACTTGAAAGATTAGATTATGCTATTCGATCTACCATTTAATTGCAACTTTCGAGTCTTATTCAAACTAAAACCTGATTAGAAAAAAAGAAGAAGATTAAAACAAGTATAACATATTATAGTTATTATTTAAATATTAATTACAACGATTTAGTCGTCAAATAATAAAGAATAATAATAAAAAAAAAAACACAAAATATTGGAATACCTAAGAGAAGGTATTTCTCCTTAGTACGTAGAAATATGTAATAGTTTCTACATAATACTATATAGTAGTATATAGTAACATAGTAAATGTAGATATAGATCCTACAGGTAAGATCCAAACGATCATAGTCGTAGATCGTAGTAATTAACGGATAAAAAGGTGCGTCTAATATTTCCTCGTAGTATGTAAGTACCCTACCCTAACCTATATATATATATACTACTACTACTACTATTACTAATACTAGTACTAATACTTCCTATATATCTTTTTGCACACATAGGTCGGCGGTCAATTATTGGACACGGAATTTCAACCGACGGTAACGGCGACGTGCAAAGCCGGTTATATGACGATTCGCGTGAATCTCAACCAGAGCTTCGTAGGTGCGGTTCACGCCAGGGATTATCGTAGACCTCAGTGTATGGTACCCGGAAATGGTTCGAATCACGCCACGCTAGGGATAAACCTACTTGCGCCAGAAGGAGCACCGGATTATTGTGGTGTACTTGTTAACAATGTAAGAATGTAACTTTTAAATATATTTACACTAAGATGCTTTGGTCCAAACGTTGATGTGACTTTTTTATAAATTGTTGATTTAATATGATTCTAAACTGTTTAGTAAATTATAACAAGACACAAAATAATATCACAATTAGTAATGAAATATATAAAGTAATAATACTTGAAAAAATATAAACAATAAAGTTAGTTATGTCACATGTAATTCTGATTATATCAAAATAATTGAATTGTGTACAGTGCCATCTATAATTCTAAACTATTTAATGCAGTCTAATTAATATTCACCTCTTTAATAATTTTTAATATTATTTAATTTAACTTAATATTTAATTAATATATTTTAATTTAACTTAATATTATTTAATTTTTAACATTCATTTAAATTTCTGGTACTTCAAATTAGACATTAAATAATATAAAAATTTTAATATATTAATTATATTTAATATAATTAATATTAATAAATATCTTATTTATATATATTACAATACTATATATATTTGTTATATAATATTAATAATATATATAATTTTTTATAATATGTAATATATACATAATAACACACACAATATATAATATCACAATTAGTAAGGGAATATCTTAAATAATAATATTTGAAAAAATATAAAAAGTAAGGTTAGTTATGTCATATGTAAATTGAAACAATTGAATTGTAATACAGCGCAATCTATTGAAAACTTGTAAGACCTAGAATCCTAGATAACCTCTTAAATATAAATCCTTAAATTAGTAATAAAAAATAAAAAATAATTGCGATAAAAACTATCCTATATTCTAAGTTAGAAAAAATCACACAAAACACACAAAAAATTACGTTAACATCGGTTGATCAATTTCGAAGTCCATAGCAAACCAAAAATGTGACACTGAATTTTTATATACATATATATAATTTTTCATGCTATTTTAACGAAACATGTAAAATGTATATAATCAAATAGAATTTTATTTTTTATTTAGTCGACTCTTAAAATAGTTCCTAAGTTTTATATTAATGATCTCAATCATTAATGATTTAATCTATTGATTAAAATTTGTTTTAATATTACAGAATACGGAAGAAAGATCGGTACCAATAGCTGTTAGGATACACAAGACGTTAGAACTTGCCGATGATAAATTTTACGTTATCACGTGCGGCAAAGCTGGTTTTAAAAATGCTAAGTAAGTTAATGATACGAGAAAGACACTAAAAACAACGTACTTAGGAAAGATAATTATGACTCATTTGTTTTCAATTTATAATATCTTGCGTTCTAACGTTAAATGTAATATTGTAGTTAAGTTTATATACTATATAACATACGATAATAATTACGATTAATTAAAAGTAACGTGTATTTTTTCCTTTTTTTCCAAGGAACGAAACATCGTTGGTGTCCTTAAGACTCTTGGACGGTTCTCGTAGAGTTCAAGAAGCTATTTATGGTCACAACTATACACTAAGAGCAGAAATCTCTCGTCCGGATGGTCAGTATTACGTTTTATTATACTACGTGTGTGTTTTCTCCTTTAAGATGCTGGTTAAAACGGGTCGGTTGGCTAACCTAACCGTTTGTCTCTTGCATAATTTTTTCCTTTTTTTCTTTTTTTATTTACGAGTTAAATCCTTTCCTTTCGCAGGAACATACGGTATCAGGGTAAAATCTTGTTTTGCGTTTAACAAAAAAAATGCCAGCGTACAATTGATCGACGAAAGAGGGTGAGTATACTCTAATCAAATCATTATAATATTTTTTTCACTTTTTTGTTTTGCAAAATAATCCTTAAAACATTATTTTTTTGTATCCCCCATGTTTATAGATGTCCCGTTAAAGCACGAGTCATGACGAAATTTATATACGATCGAAACACCGGTACAGCGGATGCCACATTGTTCTCCATGTTCCGCTTTTCCGACAGTCCACAAGTGCATTTTCAATGCGACATTGCTGTTTGTAGAGGTGAGCATACTATAAATTGCTATACCGTGAAATGATTTGTATCAATGAAATTAACTATACCGAATCTGGGTCAACTAATGTGATTCAAAATATTTAAATGAATCGTTCCAACCAACGATCATTAAAGATTTCATTTATTATACTCTAGAACGGGTTCATTTTAATTAAGTATAATAAAATAAATGAATTAAATCGTAACTGTACTCGATTTCATTTGTTTCGTATTTTTACGATTAAAAACGTTAACAAATATTATTATTACTTTATCAAATATCGTTTTAATAATTTAATTAATTGTTAATTAAAATTTGTAATTGATTCGTTAGGAAGTTGTGGTACTCCGATATGCGAGGATGACAAGGACGAAGGAATAAAAGGAGGCACTCCTATCAGTGGACAAAACGTTGTCGGTGAAGAAGGAATCTTACTTGCCGGTACAAGCGTTTACGTTCTTGATCCTGGAGAAAAACCAAGTGAGTTATTTTATACTAATTATATATTATTATCTAATTATAATTATTAAATTATATTTAATTTTAAAATTTAATATAGTAAATTCATCTTGCGATTTTTTATAAATTAATATAATTGTACCCATAATTATAAAAGTGATCTAAGTCATATTTCTTTTGTTTCGAAATATGTTAAGAATTAAATTTGAACATTAAATTAATTCTAATTATTGAAATAACAAATATAATCTAACAATAATTTTTAACAATTACGTTGAATTTATTTAGTTTTAAATAATGTTGTGTGAAATAACTGATAAACTAATTTTCTTTTAAATTTTGGGTTAGACCAATTTCATAATTATGTATTATATAATTTGGATATATATAAGTATGTATTATAGAATAGAATTTGGAAAACATATAATTTTATTTCACGTAAAAAAAAAATAAATTAATATAAAAATTAATATATAAAATAAATTAATGATTAATTAAATAAAATGTTTTTTATTTACAGTGGTTCAAGCATCCTACGAAGAGGGCAGTATCCATCCGTTATGGTTGTTATGGTTAGCGGTAGCATTAGGAATATTGTTTCTAATAATGCTAATCATTAACATATTCCTATGCTCAGCTATGACATGTAGCTGTTCACAAACCGACATTATCGAAAAAGAACCATCGATTGAAGATTACGATCCATACCGTAGCTGGCACGGTTCTCAATACGGGTCGAGGTTTGATTTAATTAAATTCTTAATACGACTGTGATGTTGTTTCGTAACAACGAATCAATCAATGAGACGTTGTTGAGAAACATTCTACACTAGCTTGGCACAAATCCTTTCTTTTTCCTAAGATCAGAACGGTACGTTAATAATAAACGTGTCTTCCTATACACGTACGTTCAACTTTCTAAATCACGTTCAATTTCATTACAAATATTTCTATTTGATATTTATACTGCGTACGAATGATTTATATCGATTACAAAAATTTTTCTAGAAAAAAATATCGAACATTATTATTCATAGAAAATATTATAATAGACGTTAAGAATATTAAAATTTTTAAATTTATATTATCCTGATTAAGAAAGGTAAAATTACATAGTTTTATTTCAATTAAAAATAATAGCTAATCTTTTGTTTAGAAAAATGTATAAATTTAACGTTAAATGTGTTTAATTATCACGTTTACGCGAACTGTTATTTTTATACATTCTGATCGATGGTTAAGATCGAATTTACAGTATACATACGAAACGAACATTATTTTATATACGTTTGAAGGTATCAGATTGAAAAGTGTCAATATAAGTTAAACGCTCGGAGTGTTAACATCATTTAAACTTATTCTCTCCTATTAACCCTTTGAGTGCTAAATACTTACAGCTTAAGTGTCTTGTAAGCACTGAATAGTTTATCATTAACTAAATTGGCATATTATTACCCATATTTTAATAATAAATTATAATATATCTAATAATAACAATTTTTCTTAATATAATTTTCATATGACAAGATTCGAAACAATAATCAACATTACATGATTTTACATTAATATTGACAACACACTTTATATGCAACTTTTAACAAACGCATATATGCGTTTATAGCAGTCAAAGGGTTAATTAATAATATTAAAAGATTAATATATTAATTTTATTTGTATATAATTATTATAGATATTCATTAAACGGGAAACAAGGATACGCTTCTGGTGGTTCAACGATGAATTCAACGAGGTCGATATCAACTAACAGCGATCATTATGCTATAGTACATTCACGTCCTGGTAGCAGATTTTCCGGTCCTGGACAAAAGCAACATCATCATCATCATCACAGAGGTCCACCCTCGAATATGGGCTCGCATTATTCTGGAAAATAATATTCTCGAAATTGTTTTAATTATATTTCATTATTTTCGATGATTTGATACGTTTTTATGTTCGTTCATTTTGATTAAACTTCTAATAGAATGTTTTATACTTCTTCTCTTCTTTTTCTTCTATTTTTTTTTTTTTTTTTTTTAGAAGACATCGACAGCTGAAAAACAAAAAATTAAACGACGAAAACAAATAATTATTATAATATTAACATTTAGCATACTTTTATAATAGATTTAAGTATCCATATATAGTTGCTAATTCATTCATAGTACTGCTATGTATAAGTCATTTTTATTTTTTTACTTTTTTTTTAAAGTAATTTTCGAAAATACTAAACGTCTCTACGATTGAAGACGCGAAAGTAGATTTTTTTTCGATAATAATTATGGAATATGTTAAAATTGTAGTTAACTAATACTTTTTTCTTCTTGTTTTATTTTATAAAGTGCGAATTTAGTTATCGTTTACGAAAATTTATCATTTTCGTAAGAAATTGCATGTATTGTATTATATAACAGTCATAAAGTATAGTCAAAACTTAGCAAATAATATTTCTTTTTAATCGCAAATATTAACTCTAATTAAGTAACGACGAATGAATGCTTATTGTAAATAATATCATGAAATGCGTAATTGCGTATAACGATTATCGTTGATCGTTGATAGAATTTGATAAATCTTTCAAACAACAACAACAACAACAACGATAATATCGAGAAATAGAACAACATAATCTTATATTAAAAATAAGTACTTTTATATATATATATCGATAAAAGTGTGTAACAACACACTAATTCAAATTGTTTTTTACATGTACGTATGTACGTATGCATGCCGACTGTTGTTATTACTTATGCTAGAAAAATTAATATTGTAATAATTAAACAGATAATTTTTAATGAAACAAATGTGTGATAAGTGACACATTAATTTTGCAAAACTATTTTATACTTTGTACTTGAAAAATCAATCAAAAAAAAAAAAAGAAGAAAAAATATACAATAAACTTTATATAAAAATTAAATTGCGTATTTGTGCATAATTATAATTTATATAAATATTTTAATAATTATTTATAATAAAACAAATAAATTATATTAAATTAAAATATACTCACCTTTGGAAATGTTGAATAAGAAGATGAATGGAAAATCAAATTTTTTTTTTATCTTTCGTTAGTTTTTTTTTTTTGTCGAGTAGTATTAATAATTCAACAAGAATTTCATGTTTTTTATCTATCAATTGCTATTATACATATAGTACAAAGGATTAATCAATAATAAAAATATATATTAAGAGTTTTCATTAAAAACTATATCTTCCATAATTTTTTTATACATATATATATATATATATAACGGTTTATTATAGTTACACATATATTATTTTATCATCAACAATTGTAAGAAAATGTTCCTAGAGAATTTATTAAATAGAAAAATAAGAAACAAAATCGTTCAGAAAATTAAATGTATACATATTACAAAATTGAAAACATATTAAATAACAATATAATAATAATAAAAAAGTAATGTGTGAACAAAGTAAATAAAATAAAATTGCCAGGAACATTTTCTTCACTCTTAAAAAAAATGACACATACTTTATGTTGACTGAAGATTTAAAAGACGTGTCAACATTAACAATTAGAAATTGTACGAAAAAAAAAATATGCGCTAAATTCTATCGATTTTTTTTTTTTTTTTAAGCATTAATTAAGGATAATCGTTTAATATTCTAGCGTATTTTTAATTAGGCGGTTCTAGATTTTGTATCTACAAGTGAATTTATATAATGTAATTATATTACATTATATTACGTGAACCCACAAAAACGCGTAAGTAAATATATTTTTATATATTATATATATATATAGACTTAAAGATCGCGTTGGTGTAAGTTTTTTACTCGCGAAACTGTAAACAATATGATCATTGTTTATCTTTTTCTAAAATACGCGAAGAAAGAAGATGATGAAAAATGAAATAAAATACAAAGGAGTATTAACCGTTTTACCTCACGACGTGATCTCAAAAAGGTTTACAAAAAAAAAGGTTACATTAAAAATATTAACGCATTAAACAAACAAAGTAATCTCTAATTTCATTTTGAAATTTGTCAAATTATTCACGTTCATTTTATTTTTTAAATTTCATTGTTTCATTAGACTTAATTTCATTTGATTTATGGGTTTAAACACAAAAAGAGTCAACAACTAATATTTTATACATGATACGATATTACAATTTTTAAAAAAAGTATCCTAAGACTTATATATGCGTATAAAAATTATCATAGGATATTATAATAACCTTGACATATACTAAGTTTAACACGTTGTGTTATATTAACTCTTTGCACTCGAAATTATTTTTTTTCTTCAGTTCACATATTATCAACAACTCACAAAACAATTTCAATAGAAAAAAAATCATATGATATACGCGTAATTATTAAAAGAATAATCATTTGTAAATTGAATTAAATTTTTTTTTTTTTTTTTTTTTTTTTTTTTTTTTAATTGTCTTCGAGTGCAAAGGATCAAATTTTATTTTTTAATGCAAACTTTGACGTATGCATGTCGCGAGGCACGCTAGAACACGTATACACGTTAAAAATACATCGCAATAATTAGCGTTTTATTATTACGCCAGCTTGCATTTTATTTTCCCCTAACTAATCAATAAGCGCAATTATGAAAATCTCGATTTATCGATGGTTACATGAATCATTCGTTAATTCGTAAAAATCGAGAATCGAGAATTGATGTGTATGACCTATTTAATATTCACTTCATCTCTCTCTCTGTCTCTCTCTCTCTCTCTCTCTCTCTCTCTCTTTATGGTATCCTCTAACATAAGTCACTACATTCCCCTTTACTCCTAATCCTTGTTAATGTCTCGTTAAAACGTAATGACTATTTCTACAATTATTTACAAAAAAATGTTGAATATCATTGTAGTTAGTGGAACTCATATTGGAATCACTCGACAACACATGAGCTGATTCAATCCTAAAAACTTCATTTCCAAATGCTCAACATCGAAATACAGAGCTTGGAAATTGAAGAATTATTTAAAAAAAAAAAAAAAACGAAACCCCCTTTATCCTAAAAAAAACCGACACGATTCGAGTATAAAAATCGATTTGATTCGAATCGGTCATTTAGGATATCGATACGTGAATATTATTATTAAACTAATTTATTAGACTACGCGTAAGATTACCGAATAACCCAACGAATTTTATCAAATTAAACGAAGAGAGGAAGAGAAGAAAAGAAGAAGAAGAAGAAGAAAAAAAAAAACAAAAAAAGAAAAGTAGATATAAACGAATACTTAACATTTCTTACAATTCTTACGTTTGCTTTGGACGTTTGCGATTTAAAAAAAAAAAAAAAAGTAAGTTTTTTTTCTATTTGTTTGTTCTTTTTTTGTTTTTTCTTTTTTTTTTTTTTAAATATATTTATTTCTTTCTAGCCGAATATGATCAATGATATATGCTATCTAATGGTAACGGCGGTGTTATAGGTGGCAAATGATTACCGCAAACTGGGAAATTCGGTGGTACAGGTGGTAAATCCGCGTGCGTACCAACGTGTAAAATTAAATTCATACCGATCAATATGTGGAAGAGGAAATGACAATGGAACAGCCAATATCCTAAAAAAAGGTACAAGATCAATGTATTAATAATTGTGTAAACAAAATATAATTAATTTTTACGTTAAGAAAATATACGTGATATAATGTAATAATGATTTTCACGATAAGGTATATATTTACCTGGATTATCAGCACGGAATCTGAAAATAACGTAACCGTTGTTTGGCACAGCAATTGTATCCTTGGCAGGTGGTAAATTAAATTGTCTGTGAAGTAATCCTCTCTTGTCGAGATCCAATGCGTGTTTTAAATTAATTTTCTTTACATTTTTATCAGGTGAACGACCAATACCTATCACGTTAAACGCATATCCGTGCAAATGGAATGGATGCGACAAATTTGGTTGTTGTACTGTTTTAAAAGAGAAAAATATTAATTGCATTTATTCTATTTGTATCAATTAATTCGATTATATTTTCCAAATTATTATAAATAATAATATTATTAGTATTATAATTTAAATTATTTAGAAATTAATTACTAATAATAATATTATTAATATTACAATTTTAATTATTTAGAAATTAATTATTTGAAAAATAATTATTAATATTTTTATTTTTATTATTTAAAAATTAATTATTAATAACATTATTACTAATAATTAATTTCTAAATAATTATATTAATTAATTAATTATAATTCATTCGATTAAATATTTATCGATGAAACTTACCCTCGTCTACGAGTACAACTTCAACAACCGCGTTATGGGGTATATCAACTTGATGCGTGCACATACAATTAGCACCACAATCAGCAGGTCTGTTATCACCATTGCAAAATTGTTCAGGTGGTATATCGTCGATTTGCGAAAGCAACGGTGCAGGTGGAAACGTAAATGATATCTCGTCTACGAGTGAAATCACGTGATCTCCAGTCGGTGCAACTAAAATTTAACGATAGAACCGTTCATATTACAAATAATATTTCATAAAATATGACATAAACGAAAAAAATACAAAATTAAGTTTATATTCCCCCTCCTTACTCGTATGTGTTGGAATTAATCATCATTTATTTTATTTTTTTTTTTTTTTTACCTAAGAAACGATTGTAGGTTTGTGGTTGGAAGACTTCTTCCGGTCTGTAGAATAGAAAACGGAATGGCAAGAATATTTTGACGTCTGGTCGTTGTTGCAAAATACCTTCGTCTACGTGACGTGCATTTTTCAATTGGCTAACACAAATGGCATCTTCCCTGGGACGATTGCAAATGGCATCGAGTGGATTCAATACCTAAAATTGTAGAAAAACATATTTCATTTTACATACAAGGATTCATCGTCTACCATTTTCATTGTAAAACAGAGAAACGTTTTAGGTGTAAGATATGAGAGGAAAACAACAACAACAAAAAGAAAAAAATGATTCATAAAAATTTGTAATATCCCATATACTTACGACACCCTGTGGAAGACCATAATCGTACGTGGGTGGAGTAGAAGTTGGTTGATAAGGGCCACGCGCATAACGCAATATTGCCAGTTGTTGGGCACGTGGAATACCACATTCACCCAAAGCACGTACTTGGATCCAATATGCTCCTACTGGTTGGTCAGCGTTTATCACAAAATCGTAACGTTCACCTAAAAGAAAAAGAATGTAATGTTTGAAATAAATATTTGTCTTAAGAAAACAAAAAATTATGATGCTGAAAGGTTGTATCGAACATTACCAGAAAATGAAATGATGGTGTTCACGGTTACGGGATGTACAGATTCACCGTCAGTTGAGATGACGGATAAAGCGTGACCTTCGAAAGTAATTTGTGCCGGACAAACGGATCCAAATGAATTGATTAGTCGAAAACGATAACGACGTCCAGGTGTTATTGTAAAAACTTCTAGAGGTGTATTAGTCATGAAACCAGTATTTGGATCCTACAATTGAAAAATATATAAAATAATAATTAATTAGGTACGTTAGTAATAAAAAAAAATTAAATAGTACTATTTTATATTATTCTAAAATATACAACTTATACTTAAATAATTAATTATTTATTTAAATTATAAATTAAATTAAATATTAATAAATTTAATTATTATTTAATATAACGTATTTAAAAATAATTATATTAAATTATTATATATAAAATAAGATTTATTTAAATAATATATAATTTTATTTGTAAATTAACTATTATAATTAAAATAAATAATATAATATAATAAATATATTTAATATATTTAATATATTTATTAATTATGAAAAATAATAAATTAAATTAATTTATCTAAAAGATTATATATAGAATCTAATATACTAACTCGAAATTGTCCTTTTCCATTGATAAGAACACTTTCAGGTGCTTGACCAGTATTAACAGCTAAACGTCCTGGGAATCGTTCAGCAGCATATTCGTGGAACCAATCACTCATCAAAAGTACGTGAGTAGTCAAATCGTAATCATAGAGATTACTGTTAGGGTCTTTGTTGGGTGGTTGACGAACTACTATACTTCCATAAAGTCCATCCATTTTTTGTAATCCGGTATGTGCATGCCAGAAATGTGTACCTTCGTTGCCAGCTGTCCATTGATACCTTTATCAATCATAAAAAAAGCGAGAAATTTTTTAGACGACCTAGTATATCAATTTATTAATAATAAATTTAATAAAATGAAATAAATTTGATTTTGCAATAAATAATATATTAAATTACCTGAACGTGCTACCTTCTTGTATGGGACATTGTGTAACAAATGGTACACCGTCGTAGTATTGTGAACCCTTTTGGAAAACACCATGCCAATGAAGGGTTACTTCCATACCTTCCATATGATTTTCCACATCGACTACCACTTTATCACCTTGACAAACTTGTATACTTGGTCCTGGTATCATTCGGTTGGCTGTTAAAATACCACGTTCGACACCATCGGCTAGAACGCATTGACACTCGCTCCAAACAACATTCGTTGCATTTGGTGTGCATATTTGACAAGCTCTAAAAAATAATAATAATAAAAATAATAAAATTAAAATAATAAAAAAAATATACAAATATATTAAAAATATATATAAAAATATTTATTTATATATTTATATATTACAATATACATAATATTATAATATATAAAATAATATATATGATATATTAATAATACATAAAACATAAAATTTATATTTAATATATTTATATAAATTATTTAATAATATATATTTTTAAATAATATTATTTTGTAAAATAATTGATATTTTATGGTACTTTCTATTGAAAGAAAATAACTTTAAAAAAAAATATATAAAAAATACAATGATACTCACGCGCCAAGTACTGTATAGTATTCAAGGGTGAAATGATAATAACATATCCTTGGTGGTTCGTTTTCGCGACAAGCACGAGCACACTCGTCCGGCGACGATAGTGAAGGATTTCTTCGTAATTCAGCGGTTGCTCTTTCACTATAATCAAGTGGTCTTGTTCTTGGTGGTCTTATGGTAGCACCACGACTACCCAAATTATCTATTCCACCAAATCCACTACGAAAAACGCTGGATGGTGTTCCTTGAATTATTCCAGCTCCGGATGAAAAGAAATCCGATGAGTCGGTTGGAAATATACTTTGTGATTTGATAGTCGAACTCCAAAAAGACGAGGATGCTGATTGGTCTAACGTCTCACCTATTTGAGAAAAAAGGAAAAAACAAGATTTATATACTGTATAAGAGTGATAAATAATTTTATTAAAAAATAAAAAAATGATTTCTTAAAAAATACGATAGGTGTGTACGTTAACTCTTTGAGTGCTGAATACTTTTACTTAAAATGTTTTTTAGGAACGGAATAGTTTATTTTAATTAGATTCTAATAATAAATTATATTTAATAATATATAAGTTTTTGTAGTTATTAATATATAATTTAATTAATTTACATAAACATTTAATTATTTTCGATTAATATTAACAAACACGCATATGCATCGAACTATCACGTTAGTTATTTTTACCAAACGCATATATGCGTTCATAGCACTCGAAAGGTTAATAAAACGAATAGAAAATGCCAATCCGATGAAATCAAGTTTGAATAATGTTAGAGTTTTAACATTTATCTTACAATTAAATAAAATAAAAAAATAATTATTATATTTAATTTGTATTTTGTACAGAATAATTTTGTCTTCGTGATCTCGATAAAGTGAAAAAAAGAAAATATAAAAATAAAAAAAGAATAAGATTTATTGACGTATATGAATAATTATACGATCGAGCTTTACTCTGTTCATGTTTTTTTTTTTTTATTTCATTTTTTAAATCGATACTCGTAAAGAGAGTGTTGAACGACAAAACGCTATACAAGTATGCATACCTATATACATAATTGCATCTTGTTTGATAGATAATTATATTTTACACTTTTTTAATTTTTTTTTCTTTCAAAAATGAACTTACAAGAACTAAACCTAAACTGCGTCAAGGAGCATAATGAAACGGAAACATGCTCCAGGAATTTCAGGTTTTCTTTTTTTCAAGTGCTAACGGTAAATCGTAAAAAAAAAAAATGATCTAGAGTTAGATTATACATTATAGAGTATAACAACTTTCTGACACATACATACATACATACACAAGAGACACGATAGGATGTCGTAATCGATGTCGTTTTTACTCGTTGCATTCTAGTTTAGTTAACCTATGATATTCTACGTTCCCAACGACCAAATATTGGAAATGCGAAATGTTTGTCGGTTTACTCGATGTCAGGAAATACTTTCGATTATTTTATTTTATTATATTTAACTTAAATATGGAATTATATACATATATATACTAAGATGTTCTGTTTACAAGTTGCTGTGAATTTGTTATAAAATGTTGATTTAATATGGTTCTTAATTATTTAGTAAATTACATAACAATACGCAAAATAATACTACAATTAGAATGGAATACATGAAATAATAATACGTGACAAAATATAAAAAGTAATGTCATATGTAAATCTAAAAAAAAAGAAGTACGACGTCAATATATCAAAATAATTGAATTGTAATACACCGCCATCTACTGAAATCTTAGAGTATCTAGAGACTTAAATAACCTCTAAATAATATAATAATCCTTAATAAGCAATAAAAATCTCTAATAATCCTTAAATTAGCAATAAAAAATAAAAATAATCGCGATAAAAATTATCCTATTTACTAAGTTGAAAAAAAATCACACAAAATACAAAAAATTTCATTAGGATTAGTTCAGTAGTTTCGAAGTTCATTAGAAACCAACAATGTGACACTAAATTTTTATATATAAAGATATAAATATAGGTATCATCTGTATTGTCTATAAATATACTAGAAAACTTGTTCGTATTTTTATTCTTCATAACTTGAGAAAAATAGAATGAAAGAATTTAGTTTCATTCATTGCAAATCTTTCATTATATTTAAATTTTCATTCCTATATTAAAAGAAAACTAAAATGCGGAATCGTTTTATTATAATAAATCTTATACAACGTTAAAAGAAATTTTTCATAAGTAATAATAATATCTTTTATTGCTGTAAAAAGAACAGAACTAATTGTAAGAATAAAATTATCTAACGTTGTGCAAAGATTTTCTCCAAGATCACACCTTTATGTATGTAAGAAGAATATTATATGTGATATAAATCATTCTAATACGTTTGTATTACGAAGGTTTAATGGTACACTTATATGGAATTTTTTTCCATGAATTATATTAAGATCACATTAATATAAATTTATATAGAAAATATATATAAGCATAAAATGAGATTGTTTTATAGTGTTTTACATCATCGATAATATGAACATGAAAATAAGATTAAATTTGATCACCATGATGTTATATAATTGTATCTAAAGTTACATGTATAATTCATAACTTTCAAACAATTGGTAATAATGTTCATTTTGTTTATCATTTTTATTCGATCATTGAATATTTATTTATAATCTTTCTCCTTTTTTGTTTTTTGTTCTTTTCTTTATGGAAACACGTGAAAGTCTCTTTCCCATCCTTCTCCCTTATCTGTCCTTATATATCGCGAACAATTTTATACAAAAAACCCTTAAGCAAAAACAGCGTAATTTCGTTAATCTTAACTCATCGATTTTTGCATATTTTCATCTTTAATTACTTTTTTTCTTGTTCGAATCACGTGAAAGTCCTTTTTTTGTTCCCTTGTTTAAGATTTCCCTTTCATTCTCATTGAACGAGAAAGGAAAATTGTTTTTGTGAGAAACACATTGAGAAACTGGGACTTATTTGAACGAGAAACGATCGTAAAATTTTAATTTTTTTTATCGATTTATCGATTATGCGTATTACAAATGAAGTATGTATAAAAAGAGAAAGATAAATAAAATGCGTAACGCGGTTTCAATCGAAAGTTCAATGGGGTAATAATACACGCTTCCGTTCGTGTTTCATCTCACCAAATGTGGAACCCCCGGAAAACAAAAAGTTGTGTGAAAAAACCTTTCACACAAATCACACAGATACACACACATACACACACACCGATCGATACGAGAAACGGGTGAGAAAAATTATTGTCTTTGATCAATAATTTAAACAATTTTTAATGTAACATTATTTAACGATCGGAGAAATTTTCGTATTTATGACTTTTCCAAGAAAATATCGAAAGTTTCAAATCTCGCATGCCTTTCTAATGAATTAGTATTACCGGACACTGGTAATAATAATAACAATACTAATAATAATAATAGTTTTGTCGTATTCACGAATGCTTTACACGCACAAACACATACACAGTCGTTAGAATTATTCGATTCTTTCACCTCGACCGAATTTTCTAAGACTGGAATTTATCTATTTATGGGGGGGAAAAAAGTTTATGATATTTACGCATTCGTATATGTTTATAAGATTGAAAAGTAACGCGGAAATATTATTTACAAGCTAATAAAACACATTTTACGTCTAACTTGGTCGACACGTAAGAATATTTGAAATTGGTATATACCATATACATATATATTGATTATACATGTGCGTATTAGACATATTTTTGTAATAAACCGATAATCTTTTTGCCGAGTTATATATTATCGTGTTGATGAGTTCTTAACGACGTAAAACTTAGGACGTTATAGTTGAATCAAGTTGAAAATGTAGATAAAGAAAAAAAGAATAGAAAAAAATTATTTCTATTAAAAAAAAAAAACGAGTTCTTATGCACACACACACACAAATTTGCTTGTAAAATGGTATATTTCGTCATATTAAAACAAGAAATAAAAAAAAAAAATAAAAAAATTAACTTCTAATACTCTCACATAACTTTATTATCTATCAACACGTAATACTAGCCGTTATATAATTAAAAAAAGAAAAGGAGAGTAGAATAAATAATTAATACATATAATATCTATATATATATATATATATATAGATATATATGTTTGCTAATGAATTAATTTAAAACACATTATAAGATGTTAATTGCTCATAAGGAATACGCGTTGTAAGTAAGTAAACCAGGCTGAAATAAATAAAAAAAAATCGAAAGTAATTTATGAGTTCGTAAGAATACGAAACAAACCCTTTTACAGAAAGAAAGTTATGCCTTTGATTTAACCGCGTAGAAGTGTATTTCATTCTTGATATCAATCCGTTTCGATCTTTCTTTCTTTTTTTTATTTATTTATTTTTTCTTATTCTCGTCGTACAAACGGGGTGACATTCCGATGTGTTGAAATAATCGATGCATACCGAACGAACAATATTATTGGTTTTGACATTCCAAAGTTGAACATTTTCTTTTCGTATATATAATACTACAGAATCCAAATTCAATCCTTTCTTATGGTTTCACGATGAAGGATTTCTTTTCTCTCAGGCCCACACCGTGGCTGCCGCAAGCAAGCGTATCGGTTCTCCTTTATCGGATTAGTCACAATTTGCATACTCACCGGATTATTCATGGTTCGTGAAAAGAAAAAGGAAGTATTCGAGATGCACTTCTTAGACTATGTACATATATACATATATATATATATATATACTATATGCATCCACTTTTACATTCTCGTCGACACTGATATTTACCGTGAGATCTTTCCAGCAAAACTAACGAGTTCTCTTACAAGATTCTCCCGTGGTTTGAAAGTTCAAGCTAAAGGTTGCAACAAACAGAATGAGATAGAAAATAATGAAAGAAACGACACGACACGATGAGCAACTTAAGTTGGAAGCAATAAAATACGCTTAATGTCGCCTTACCAATGAAATCATGATGGGCTTGGTGTCTCCCTTTTTATTTTTTAAGAGACGAGATGAAAAACAATGAAGATCGTTTCCATCGTCGTAAATCGTAAATGAACGTTGAAGTTCATCGACTCCTCACGGTATTGATCGTAATTTTAAAAGTGCAACTTTGTATTCCCAAGAATACTAACTCGTATGATCTTATGCATAAGTGTTCATACATTTCTATTACGTATTACGCTTATGTACCTAGTGCAGAAACTTTTTCTTATCATCGATCATTCTTTATTCTTTCTATTTTTTTTTTATTGGATACTCAATAATAGTTTTAAATCATGTTGAATTCGATAATATTAAAGATAATAATCGGTAAATAATATATATTATATATATATATTTTAATTTATAGGTGATAACACG